ACCGCTATGGGGGTTGCTGCCCTTGCCGTTTGTTTGTCCAAACCCTGCCAAAGTAAGTCACTAACGACAACCTATCCTGTCTGCCTGCTAATGTGGACATTCTCTCTTTAGACTTCTTCACCACTGGCCATCACCTCCACCACCAATCGACGAAGGGGGCATATGAGATCACAACGACTTGAGAGTATCACAATAGCAGGGAAGGGAGTTATGGGTGAGTAGTAGCATATAACTAGCCTCTTCAGTAGTACCAGTAATTTCATCGTGTTATTGAGTAACAATTACATATCATTGATTTTTCTACATTATGTGCTTGGATTGAGGAGGGAATTGAATGGGATATTGAGTTATTGAATACATGGTTGCCATACTGTGATATGTACCCTCTCTACATATTCACCCACAATGACAATAGCCAGAGCGGTCAGCTGGAAATTGGCTGGACCTGACAGGTTTGTGCCAGCTAGGCTGGCGGCAGAACCCTATTAGTTCGATTTTGAGCTGGTGGCCACAATCCGTCACACTGGTGACAATGTGGGAAAATGTTGAGGAGACGCCGCATGGCCCAGGTGGCTTCCACATCTGGCCCAAATAGTGGTGTAGTACTTGATGGCTCGTAGCATGGAATAGGACTGGGAACCAAAATGATATTGATTTATAGAGGGGGACTGCTAACTACTCTGAATGTGGGTCCAAGAGTTCTTCAAGTGTCCCATTCATGCCCTTTGCCATCTGTGTAATCTTTGCTGCTGTGAAAACCATTGACTCCCTTAAGAACTTCGCCTCCACCATCAAACGGTCGTAATCTCTCGCCAGCTTGACGCTGTCATTGCATGTCCTCCGATGAGCTGCATGCGAGCGCTTGAGCTCAGCAAGTAGGTGGGCACAGTTTGTGCACGCGTCATTGGTTTCCTCAGCTTGGGTGCTTTCTTCGTCTTCGATTTCAATGGCTGGGACAGGTGGGCTATCCTGGGATACCCCATTGTGTGGAGGTCTTTATCATGCCCCACTGATTCCTGCCGGATTCCGGTCATTCCTGCGGAATCCAGCGGAATCCGGAGGAATCAAATTTGGCAGAGACACCAGCCAAAAAGACATTCCGGGGGACAAATATTCCTCAGGAATGATGTCATTCCTGATTAGTAGCCGGAATGGTCCCCGGAATGGACAAAAAGGAATGCAACCGGAATGCAATGTCCGGAATATACATTACTAATCAATAATATCAATAAACATTAATATACCCATGCCCAAATCGAGTCTCGGCAAACGCCGAGGCTCGATTTCACATCATCAAACAATCCACAACGTTTGTTTCAAACCACCACCATCGTCGTCGACAACAGCCGGGCACACCACGCCACCACCCTCGCCAACGGCCACCACCAGCCACAACCGTCGCCGTCGCCGTCACCGCCCACTGAGGACGACGATGGACGACGACGGATGACGAGGACAACGACACGTCAGCGGACGACACGTCAGCAGACGACACGTCAGCGGACGACGAGGACGGCCACACGTCAATGGACGACGACCACGTCAACGGACGACGACCACGTCAACGGACGACGAGGCGACGACTACACGTCAACGGATGACAACCATGTCGACGGAGGATGGCCACGTCAACCAACGGCCACGACCCACGACGTAGAGCACCCACCCCGTTGGCGAAGACGACGACGAGTGCATACGACGACACGACAACGACGCGACACAACGGCGACGCGACGCCACGACGACAATGCAACACGACGACGACGCGCGCCCACATCGTCGAGCGCCCACGTCGTCGACAACGCAACACGTTGACGACAACGCGACACGACGACAACGCGCGCCCACATCGTCGAGCCTTCCTTCCCTCCCTTTTCCTCCCTTTCCTGTCCCCCCTTTCTCTCCCCCTTCCTTGTCCATCTCCCCTCCCTTTTCTCTCCCCCTTCCTTGTCCATCTCCCCTCCCTTTTCTCTCCCCCTTCTTTGTCCATCTCCCCTCCCCTTTCCCTCCCCCTTCACTTTCCCTCCCCCTTCACTTTCCCTCCCCCTTCACTTTCCCTCCCCCTTCACTTTCCCTCCCCCTTCACTTTCCCTCCCCCTTCCTTTTCCCTCCCCCCTTTGTCCCTCCCCCTTCCTTTTCCCTCCCCCTTCCCTCCCCTGCCTTATCAATCCCCTATTCCTTGTCCCCCTTTCCTTTTCCCTTCCCCCCTCCCTCCCCATTTCCTGCTCCCCCCCCCTTCCTTCTCCACCACTCTCTCCCTACCACTCCCTCCCCCCTCCATCACTCTCCCCCACTCCCTCCCCCCTCCCTTTAACACTCAATGTAGTAGAATAGATTTATGTAGTTCTATCAAATACACTGTGATTCTCCCTATTCAAGTCTAAATAGCATAAGGAATTCTTAGAAGTTATGAGCATAAGGTCTGAGTTGATTAAGTCATGTGACATCTAGCTAAGCTTGGAAAAATATGTGTTTTAGGCCATTCCTGTCCATTCCTGTGCCATTCCAGTGGATTCCAGTGGATTCCAGTGGATTCCTGTGTCATTCCTGTGGATTCCAGTGCCATTCCTGTCCATTCCTGTGGATTCCTGTGCCATTCCTGCGGATTCCAGTGGAATGGCTCCATTCCTGCAGGAATCAGTGGGGCATGATGAAGTACTGCATTGTGTGTCAGGTTGTCGTACCACTGTTGGGAATCGATTTGGGAGTCGAGTATGCTGTTTGCACCAAAGTCACTGGACAGGGAGAGAATCAGGCAATGAACAGGCAATATGATGTAGTAGACTCACGAAGTTGTCTTCAAGGAAGCTTTCAGAAAACTTTTCTGAGCTGTGCGCTTGCGCACTGGACTTGGGAAGACCCCAGCTTGTTTTTCAGCCACCTCAATATGATGATAGACGGCTTTCGTTGTGGCTCGTGATGTGAGCTTTTTGGATGATCTGCCAAGTTTGGAAGAGGGTGGAGGTGGAAGGTTTAAGTTCCGAGTAGCGTCTTGGAGGGAGGGACGTGTGCTCGAGGTTGGCTTGTCCATTGAGATGATTGTTGCTTCGAAGAAATATCTGCAGACAAACAAAGCCAAACTCCGGATTATATCCCAATCGAGGCATTTGTGACTGTGTCATTGAGTAGGTTGACGCTGTTTCGACCGAAAGATGCAGTCCTCAACAACAGCACAAGGTAAAATTATTTAAAGTCTTGGAATGTAGAGTTAAGATACATTCTAACATTTCGTGTGACTTGAATCAGTGTGCTAGACGTGATACATTCAGCTACAAATGTTTGTGTCATTGACCCGTTGATGACTGTACTACGACGAGTCGCCAAATTTCACTCTTCGCACATATAACGACCTCCAATGCTCCCCACGCCGCCTGCCTTTTTCCTGCTAAAATTTGGGATCACTGTTACTGCACGCATATAGCCACCTCCGAACCCACATACGAGCGCCTCCCTCATTCTTTCTTTTCGTCGTGTAATGAGGGAATCCTTATCATAGGATCGGTACTCATTAGCTGCCTCGCGGCTCTCGAAGCTGATGCTTCACATACACATTCTCACAAAAGGCGGCTTGCGTTCAGTATGCGAGAAAGTTCAATGGCGCGTCAGAAAATGCCAACTGCATGCTTGGCTTACGGGATGTACAGACATCAATTTGGCATCTATCACAAACACTCTCTTGGGCTCTCCCCTCAGGCGCAAAAGAACTCGACACACCGTCATCCACTTCCTCTCATCGGTCCTTGGACAGGACGACAGGAGAACCTACACCCCTGCAAGAGGGCGTGGCCACTAATGGGGAGGGGTGTTTCTTACAGCCTAGGCTGTACTTAAATACCAAAAAGACCTGCATACATGCACAAAGTCCTATAGCCCAGGTAGTGGGATGTTGTGGTCTGTCCTCAAGCAATCTTTTGTGCATTCCATTTTTATAAATGTTGGCCTTCAGAATTCCGAAAAAAATTGGTTTTTTTCAGTAAATTTGGCCCCTAGGATAGGTTTCTGAAGAATCACACTTCTTAGGTTTGTTTTGGGATCAGAACGGGGTTCTTGTTGTGATTGTCCTTGGTTCTGCCATCAATTATTATTGTTTTGATGTAATATTGCAAATCCTTCATCAATATCCGTCGCTGTCCATCAATGACAGTCAGAAATCATACAGCGGATGTGTTTCCTTCCCTCAACACATCCGCCATATGATTTCCGTTCTTCCGCACTGATATGTTTGTTGTATTTATATGTTTTTTTTTTTTTTTTCACTAGGGGTACACTGTAGGTACACCACAGCAGTAGGTATGTAACATCTGTTGCTAAACTACTTATTATTCATTTCCGATGTGTAATATCTGCCACACGGGGTGAACAGCAGTGGAACGGCGTTGGAGAGCGACGCGACGCGTCACTTGCGCGACTTCAACCAACCATCACGTGACCCACAAACCACTTCTCTCTCCTTCGCGAACGATCCTTGGGGTGCAAAATCATTCTATTATATTAGGTTACACTGTGATATGGTTGTTTCAACTTTTCTGTGTCACCCACCACTATGATTTATTTTTAGTAGATCATTGCAATCTTTAATTCCAGTTCAAAGTAGTGTTTGAAGGTTCAGTTCAGTCCGGTTTTTTGCCCCGAAAACGCGCAACCGTGGACCGCAACCGGTCCAGGACCGACCCAGATATTGAGGGAACCGAACCGAACCACCTAGGACCGGTCTTTTGCGGTCCATGATACCGGTTCAGACCGATCCAGACCGGTTTTTTTGCGTATAATTTATTATACCAATATAAACCATTTATATCTCAACTATTATTACTCTGAAAAATAAACGGGTTATATAAAATAGTAAAGCATATAAATACCCATCATTCTACCAATTTTCAAGAGATTTAATGAAGATTTGACATAGCTATGACTGAAACTGAATTACATCTCCTAGAGACTCGGGTAAAATATGGATTTGGTTATATCTTTCTCAATTCTTAACCGTTTTTGATGAAACAAAGACCCCATAAAAGGCAATAAACGTGGTTACAAGGCTATC